GAAGAAAAGCTANTATTACGAGGACGTTTACACAGATTTTTGACGTCACAGATGATAGAAAAATTCATAACAAGGTAATAAATGATCATTTTATCTCCGTCTAATTTTGAACAAATTTTTTTCTATGTTAAGTAACTGATACAAAAGCTGTAACGGTGTCGATAAGGAAATTATAATAGTACGAAGTTACATTTTGATAATCGCAATAAAGACTGATTTCCGTTCTTTTTCTCTTGGCTACGCTACTCGCTATCTATTGTGCGGTTGTTAACTTTGCATTTTAGAAGTGCCTGTGAAGAGAATTTAAATGAAGTTTTGAACGACTAGTAGATTTATACTGAAACAATTAGATTATTCGCTCTCGATTTCTGTGTGTGATAGTTGACTCGGGCTGTACCCTCGTCAGCTATTGCGCGATAGGCAAGGCACCGGGTTCAATTCCAGCTCTGACCACTAAGCTGGAGCTTTTTCACGGTAAAACCTAGTTCAACTTCTCAGTCATGCTTGTGAATAGCCAACTGGTCTGCCTTCCGCCAGTTGGGATTTTTAAGCCTCTTATGTTTAGTTGATGTACTTGTTTCTTTCAGCTAAAGTGGCATGCCTGTGAACTAGCTAGCTGTAGCTAAGCGCACTGACCACTACAAACAACATTTTTGAACCTGTAAAGTTTGGTTGAACGAAAACTGGATATTGTGCCGAACACAAGCCGTGCGCATCTGGACTTTTTGGGGGGTGTTTTTTAAATGTAACGGGGAAAGGACATTAACTAAAGTGATCACATACCGGAACAGTTGAAACCATTTCCTTGGAAGCCTGTCTTACAGCGACATGAATACGACCCGTCTGTGTTTATACACTCGGCATCTTTAGAGCAGTCTACACGGAGGCATTCATCGATATCTTGAAAAACAAAAACACGTCACTAATGTAAGTAAGTAGGTTATTTCCTGAATCGATCACACCAAAGACAGCCGGGACCCATCCACACTACGCCGGCGGAGTTTGAAAACGGAGGTTTCACTCTGAAAACGCATCAAATGTTTTCGGTCCACACTACGCCGCAGGAATTTAAAAACACAACAATCACCGGTCGTTTTGGATTTGTGTTTGATTAACGTGACGCCATCGTTTTCGAAAAGCTCCGTTTTCAAAATGTTTTTCGTCCACACGAAAACGAAAGGACGCCGTTTTCAAATTCCTTTGGTTTGAAGATCGTTTTCGAATAGCTCCGTTTTCGTGACGGATTATTGTGGACGGTAGGCGTAACCGTAGAAATAAAGCTGCGTTTTCAAATTTCTCCTGCGTAGTGTGGACGGGGCTCAGTAATATATTGGGGAAAAAAATAACATTCTTTTATATTCGCGCGTGTCTCGCCACATCTTGCATCGAGGTAGGTACTAAAATGAACAATGATAGGGCAGATGGCCATTGCTATAGCTTTGCTTGAATTTAACGATCTTGGACGTTCGGTGACCCCTACTTTTCTTTCCAGAAACAGATTTTAGTTACAATTATATCCACATTGTCCAAAAATGATCAAAAAATCAATGTGGGAAGTTAAAAAAAAAATTCAAGATTTCTGTTCACGTGACATCGAAACCTGCCATCTTGCGGCTGCAAGGTGCGTGAAACTATGGTCGCTAAATGCAAACTTGTTCTTTAATGAGAAACCTCACCAGTTGACTAAATTCACTTAAAATAGGCCCACTTAAACAATATTTGGCAGAGAACATTTCACTTCAAAGATCTAATTGCAATATTTTGGAGTTTACAGACACTGTGGCCTTATTCGCTAACGAAGCCCGATTTTTCAGATTTAGGGTGTTCTTCCGGGCATGTTCTCTCCAAAATGAAGGCGGTGACCCCCCATTTTGTTTGCAAGGTTGTAAACAAGGAATAAGGAGATAAAAGGGTTGTTTTCGAAAATCATGAGGTTGTTTCTACAGTTAATCTTTCTCTTCTCCGAGACGCAAGTAACCATCTAATTCACACAAATATGGCAACTGCGTGAAGCTGTGAACACTTCTAGTTGCCAGGGGGAGGGACTGGATGGAGGAAGGGAGATTGAAAACGCTGTTAAATATTTACCAGTGCAGGTATTGCCGTTTCCAGTGTAACCACGTTTGCACGAGCAGGAATAATTCCCTGCATCATTTTTACCACAAGTTGCTTTTGGAAGGTCACAATCAGGAATATGCCGAATACAAGCTGACAATGCTGAAAAAGAAAAGAGAAACAAATATAAACTGAGTGAGGTAGTGCCTTCACTGAAGATACGTTTACGTTAAATAAACCGGAAGAAAAAATAAAATCTTGAATCTAACCAGAAGAAACCTCGCAATGTTACAAAATAGTGCATTTTGAAAACTTTAGCCTTCATTTTTAACGTCTGTCATATGTAATCCATGTCAATCATAACAATACTTGTTCCTCTTACTTGCTGCATTGTTACCTAATGTGGCTTTTTTTGACTTAATTATACTTTTATTTTGATTTTGTTTTTCTGAGAAAAGGTAACTTTGTATTCCACTGGCGAAATATTACTCAATTCACATACTGTGACTGGGCCTCTTTATTAAGTATCCCCTCAAATACGAACGAAGTGGTCAATACGAAGTGGTCAATAAGATCTGACTTTGGCCCGTCGGATACCATATAAATATTAATGAGGTTAGACTGTACATTCAACAAGTAATCTCTCAAGCTAAGCTAGTGCTAAACAAAGCTTACGATAGCATATTTTCCTTGCATCTCCTCCAAAGCCCCCTTTACATCGGCAGCTGTACGAACCAATAGTATCAGTACATAAGGCGTACTTCACACATTTATGAGTGCCTGTTGTACACTCGTTGATATTCGTGCAATTTTTGCCAGTTCCATAAAAACCTGTATTGCAAACGCACTTGAAAGAGCCATTAGTGTTTACACACAGAACGCCATCAATTTTCGGACAATTATGCTTTCCACTATCACATTCGTTTATATCTTTGCAGGAACGTCCGTCGCCTTCATAGCCATTCTTACAGCGGCAGTCATAACTCTTTTGTGTGTTGATACAGGTGGCGCGCGTTTTGTGGCAGCTGTGAAGGCCTTGCTTGCATTCATTGGCGAGTTTACACGATTTAATTCCATCACCGTAATATCCCTCTTTACATCGACATTCGTATCCACCTGGTATGTCAACACATTTACCGTACCGATGACGGCATTTATCTCTCTTCTATGAAAAAAAAGGTAAAAAAACATGCTGAGATATTTACTACGTCTTTTGGTAAGCATTACTAGTCACTTGTTGTTGTTGTTGGGTTTTTTTTTCATAATAGCCCTATTCACGAGAAAAAAGTTAAAACGATAAAAACTAACTAGAGGGATTCTATTGTAAATTCCCTCGAAATAGCAACCAATAAAGAAATGGTGACTATACTTTCCCATGATTTCAAACTGCATGCTTAAAAATGCAATGTACAGTGCTAGGGATTAGTCTTGGGGATAATTTGATAATTGGACTGTTTTTCCGAATTACCTTAAGCCTCTTTCTCAAAGCGAGTCATGGTGCCCAACCCTTCAAATGAAAACGAGATTTCATGCACATGTAAATTAAACTCATTTTTCATATAAATGGGTGTGCACCAGGCTTCGCTTTGATAGAGAGGCTTAATGCAACTCGGAAA